GGCGGTGGGATTGGATGGTTGATGAGATTGCTTGTGGGGTAGATTGATTGATACTTACCCACTTTCGTTTCAGGGCTCTCCTTCAGCCGCAGTACAATCTCCGACTGTCCGTCCATAGCAAAGCGGGGCGGACGATTAGAGGCAACGATAGCGATTAGAGCGGCAAATACAACGCTAACGATCACCATGGTGCTTCCTTCTCCGGGAGGATTCCATCGTTTCGGGTGGGTCCTTTTTAAGCGCACCTTCTTGTAGTCTGTGGATTGCCTTAGCTGTTCGTTGTACATGGTAATGATGATGACGATGACGATGTTGTTTTAGTGGGCACCTTTTGGTTACTGCGACTGCCACATGACAGGTAGACTCTCGCCCTCGGATGACACCAGCAGAGCGACACCTAGAAAATAGACAGAGTGTTACAACAGAACCCATAACCCAGTGCTAACCCATTTTCCATACGTCGGGCCTGGTCTGTCACATTTTATGGTGACTCTGGGGCTGTGCCTTATGACCCCAAAACAGTTTCGCTCGAGAAAGCACTCTAAAGTGGAGAGGTATGCTTTCGGTTCTGGTTCTGCTCTTGCAACATATCTTCCCCAAACCCAACTCCGAACCCAGCCCAACAATTAGGTCGGACATATGTTTCTCAATGGAACTGTTACCTGGAACTGGACTGGACCTGCCGCTGTGGCTCGTGTGTTCTCTGCGTGAGAATTGGCCAAATCTTTTGCGAAAGTTTTATGAGCAAATTAATTAAAGCGTGTGCTCTTTATTGGCCGGTCTGCTGCTGGCTCAGCACTAGCCTGGAATTCCGCTGAAGAAATTTTATTGACTTTGTTTTTGTGTGTTTCTTGCAAGGTTTAACGACCGTAACGTTTTCTAAACTGCCCGGCAATTATTAAGTATTACTCTTGTGCCAGTACTATCTAGATGTATTCATGTGCCAGATTTGTCTCTTTTATGGACTGCTGCACTGCCAATAAATTCTAGATGATCTCCACAGTTAATATTTATAGTAAGTTCTCGCTCAAGTGGAGTGAAAACTGAAAGTTGTGGGGCGGATTTTCCAGCCCTTATGTGTACGAAAATTTAATGATGTTTCTCCATAGCTTGGAGAGGAGTGTAGCCTTATCTCCGTTTGGTTTCTCACACAGCGGATCATGTACGCGTGTGAAAAGTGCATAGCGATGACTGCATCTGTCAGATACAGATGCAGCCACAGATACAGATACCATTGGCGGCGGCTTATTAATGCCAGACATTGCCATTGTTCGAAGGTTCAACTCGGTTTGCCTCATTTGCAATCGGAGCACTTGCATATCGTCTCGCTGCACAGAAAGACAGACACAGAGTCAGAGCCACCGCTGAGTGCGGTTCATTGATTTCGCAATCACTTGGATATTTCTTAATTGTTGGCAATCGTAAATGCCTCAGACCCAGGCCCCCGGTCAACCGGTAATTGATTTGTGTACTTGTCCATCTTTCAGGTTGCACAACCCCACCTCTTCGAAAATCATCTCTTTATCGCGGCGAGCGAATCTGCAGACAAGGTCGTTAGTCAATCCATCCCCCCTAGCCTTGCAGTGGCCGTTGGGGCACTTTTGATTCAAAAGTAATCACAATTTGTGGCTGATTTCGCTTTCAACACGCGCCACATGCAACAATTTCTTCTCAGTTTTGGGACGAGGCTTGAAAAGAAGCTGGCTGGGAGCTTCGCTTGTAATTATCCATGTGTATTCATGGCCGAGAGGCAATTGGGTTGTTTGGTCAGTTGGCTGGCAGGGAATGCTCGGGTGGTCATACAATTTCATGCTGCAATGCTTTTCCATGGGGCTATCCGAATGAGGCTATCTATCACAGCTGTCGATGGGGTCCATCAGTGAATCCGAGCGATACAGAGTCAGAACATATATAGAAATATAGTATGCGTATGATATTGTTCGTGGGTTTGAAATCTATTACTCTAAGTATTCACCATACGCCCTGTATACACACTTAAACACTGTCTTTGCCTCCATAGCTATCACTCCACTTTAAATGAGGCTATTTAAAGCCAAACTAAATGTAGTCTTAATTAAGTCCATTAGTGACAGAGACGCACTTTCCTGTTGGCAATTTTCCACCCGGCGAAAACCCACTGAATTAAAGCAAATTAATAAGTCACGCCGCCGCCTCGCAGAAATCCGACCTGACGGTTGCAGGTCGGTTGCCATTTCACTCACAATTTATGTAAGCTGAAAGTGGAAGAGTCGCCAGCAAAGTCTCAGAGCCATGACGATGTCGGCGGGTGACGACGCTGCCTTTCCACAGCTCCCAAATCTCCAACATCTGGGACTGAGACTCGGCAGACTCTACAGACTCTTGGCGGTTGCCTGGTGCTAATGACTCTTGTTGCAAAGGTCACGCTTGGCATGTTCTGGCCCGCCGTGGCCCGGCTTGGCCCGGCCTTTTGTTTCCCGGTCAGAGTTGGCCAAAAAGTGAAATCCTGCACGAAAATAGTTCAATATACTCGAACTTTGCAACCAATGGATGCCACAGCGCTACCCATTCCGTTCCATTGCACTTCCCATCAAATCCCATCCCATTAACTCTTGCGGTTAACCACAAACAAAGCTGCTGGCGACTCCAAGGTAATCCCAGAGAAATGGAAATCTCAATGAAACAATTTTTGATTTCGGATGTTGTGCATGATGATGCGACAAGTTCCAGCAACTCCTGCTCCTGCTCCTCCACTATATAATCGTTTGTTGGCAGCTAAGCTGTGCCGCATCGTACCTGACGGTTGACTTTCCATGTCTGCCTCCGTCAGGGGCTCATTTAATTATATTAAATATGTTAAGCGCGGCTCAGAGAGAGTCAGAGGCAGAGTCATAGGCAGAGATAGAGATACGAGTAGTGACGGGCCCTGTAGCTTGGGCTGTGACCAATGTTGCCTTCAGTTTCCGGGGCACGAACGAGTGGCTGAGCAAACAATCGGAGGGGGCCCATGCCCATGGCTACCAGTACTCCAATTTGAACACTTCCTCCCCCATATTAGGGCCCTGTTTGTCATGCCCATCGATTCCGATACGGGGCTCCGACAGTCAAGTTCAACGCCAGCAGCAAAACTCCATGCGAGCTATTGTTTGTTGTTGGCTGACAAACAAAAGGAGAGTTGGCATATGGGGGGTGGGAGGGGGACGTTGGCTGGAGGCAGCTCCGTTGCGGTAGCTTGGTTTTTGACTCATAGCCAGGTTCAAGCGACGCCCGCATCCGTCTCACTTTCATGGTAATGTGCGTAGTCCCTGCCACCTCTTCGGCTCCACTGTAGCGCTGAGCCCCGGCCAAATCTTGGCAGTAACATGGCTTGGATGCAGACAAAGTGTCGTAAAACATTTGTCCGTTACACTTGGTCTCCTTTTCTAGCTCGATTTTTGCATATCCCAATCCAACTGCTTCTTTCATCCGAATCTGCCTCGAAAAGTAGGAGTATTGCTACATTTCGGGCACTTAGACAATTGGTTTCGCATACATGTGCGATCGACTCGCGACTTGGAAGAGCAAGCAAGTCCTTGACCTGGGCTGAGTGACCTTACATACGCTAGGGGGGTAGCGGAACGTAGTTGGGCAACCCTTCGTACGTTGATCATAGAGCTTCTATACCATCAAAGCCATCCCCAGTAAGGAGGGAAACCCCTTAACAAATTACAGGACATCTGACGCCTGCAGCCAAACCGGTTCCAATACTTACCCTCTTCAAAAAGGTATTCCTCTAGCACCCGTCCGAACACAGAACGCAAGGAGTATCCTTTGACTCTTGACACTTTTATGGTAATTATTTCAGGGAGCACTTCCAATGTCTCACTCGATTGCCAGTTGACTGCTCACAGAGAACTTTCAAATTTCTTGTACTGACACATTTTCGAGAAGGCTTCTTCTGTGGGCCAGCACCAGCACGACCACGACGTCACTGGTAATTAGGCATGAGTCAAAGAACCCCAGAACTAAATAAACGTGTCGCATGCTCTGAAATTGGGCAATGCACGAACCGGAACTCGATTCCAAACTGGGAGGGAGGGGTACCACATATGTGGATGATGAGTACGGGATAGATAGATCACTTTAATGACACTTGACGCCGCCGACGGAACGTGCTTCAAACCACGCAACGTACTTAGTGCTGACCAGGCGGGGGTCTTACGTTAAAGAATAAATAAATCACGATTGCACTTTGAAATTTCAAAGACCGTTAAATGTTTTCGGAACACGAACTAACCGCGAAAACCAAGTGGAAGCTTCGAAAGCCGCAAAACGACTAAGAGCCTCGGTGCCAGACACAGCCAGCTCAAGCTCTAGCAACGGAACGTTGTGCTGTATGGGAATGGAGTTGTCAACGAATGTTGTGGCAACCCTGGCGCATACAGAGAGAGAGAGAAACGACTGCACTGCAGGCACGCGAGTAATTGCCGAACCGTAAATTCCACCGCCACGAGTAGTGGGGGGGCTGGTGGTGCTGCATGGGGGTGGGATGGTTTGTTTACGATCAGACTGGAAGACTTGGAAACGAGAGAAGAGCGGTGGGGAGGTGGACAACGGAAGTGAAGAGCGTTGGGCTTATGCAATTTTGAAGGTTAGGTCTGCAGAATTGTAGAGTTACACAACACTGACCAAAAAAAGCATATAACCAAACACTAGACAATGTTTAGTAGACTTAATACTCAAAGGAAGCTATTTCTCTTTAAACATAGCATCCTTTGAATATGCTGGAATAGAAATAGATTACTTTGAGTATTGTGTCCACTAGTATTTGTTACCCGCTGCTACAAATTTTACTCGTATTAGTGTATCAAACATTGTCTAGGTAAGTAAGATGTATCAAAAAGTGGAGTTAATACTCAAGCAAAACTGTTTATTTTGTTTTAACATTGCTTTCCTTGAATATTATGTCTGCTATTTGTTACAGTCTAGAAATTGTGCTCGTTTTATATTAAATCTAGTCTCGTTTGGGCTTCATCGTACAGAAAATGTCTCTGGATCGTGCCTCCGGCATACGGAAAGGACAGCAAAGAAATTTACTAAAGGGATCCAGATCGGCAGTAACGAGCCCGACTTATCTCCAAAAATCCAGCAAGAGTCGTTGCTTCCATTTCCGCTACTTAGAGCTATGTCGCGCCAAAAATCTCACACCAGTGTCCGAAATACGGAAGAAATCCAATGCGAACACCTTGCTGGACGTCTTCGCCGATAAGCTGAACGTGACCGACTGGATGATGGTCATCGAGGCTCTACAACATGACATCGTTCTGCAGAACTTGGTACTGCACATGCGTCGCTCCTATCAAAACAGTGAGTAGCCGGAGGCGGACCATAGGGCGTCAAACTAAGAAACCGGTTTTCATGCAGATATAATCGAGCCCATCGACACGGAGAATCGGGCCCGGCTCTTCCGAGAGCGCCCGGTGGTATTCACGCGCTTCATTTTCAGCGGCCTCGTCAAGTCCATCGCCGATTGTGTGTCGAACAACAAGAACATCAAAGTGCTCAAGCTCGAGGGTCTGCCCCTGTATGACGTCTACATTGAGTGTATTGCCAAGGTAGGTCTGATACGATTCATCCTAAATCCCATCATTGTGTCCTCTGTTCTAGTCGCTGGTCGCCAACGATTGCCTGGAGACCTTGAGCTTTCGCAGTTCCAGCATTGGGGACAAGGGGTGCGAGATGGTTTGCCACACGGTCAAGTATCTCAATCGTATTGCATATTTCGATCTCTGCGAGTGCAAAATCACCTCAAAGGGGGCCAAGCATGTGGCCGAAATGATCAAGGTATATCGGCGGTAAAGTACTTAGGATACGTGGTAATCCTTGATATCCCCCCCAGATGCAAAAGATATCACACTACACGGAGGGGTGGGAAAAGTCCCTGCGCTACCGGGATGTCGATGTCAATTCCATTTTGGGACTACGAACGATTCTTCTCGCTAACAATCCGATGATCGGGGACGAAGGCCTACGATTGATCGCCGAGGTGCTGAAGGAGGATGTCTGGATAAATTGTAAGTAGGAGGAACAATACTGGGCAGCCCGCTCTAAGATCTTCGGTTTTTGCAGCTGTCGACATGCAGGGCTGTGGCCTTACTGATATTGGAGCCAATCTCATAATCGACTGCCTGAAACTGAACACCACCATCGGCGAGTTCAATGTACGGCACAACCAGGGAATCAGCCATTTCTTGCAGCGTAGCATTCGCGAACACCTGGGCATCCCAGACTTCGAAAAGAAGAAGGAGCCGGAGTACGATCTCAGCTGCTTCAACGGGCTGCATAGCCTGCCCAAGGGCCAGAAGTTCACTGTCAGACAGGTGGTGTTGCACGTCAAGCGCCTTGAGCAGGAGCTGTCCTTCGAACGGACTCTACGCAAGAAGGCCGAGAAGCTGAATGTAAGACTCAGCAATCAACTAATGAACTGTAACAGCCACATGATCTCTGACAAGATCACGGACGCCTCCCTATCCCAAGTGGTTAACGAATATATGGAAATGAAGGAAGCCCTCATAGAGTATGTCTTTCTTTGCCATATCCCTCTGTGAGCTTTCCCATTATCCCATTTGTATTTCACAGATCGCCAACGTATCGCCAGACGGAGTTCGGAAAGCTGGTCAACAGCGTCGTCACCACCCCGGAAACGACTCCGCGAAGCGACTTGTCGACCCTGCGAAAAGATATTCCGCATCTACAAGTGTCAAGCCAATATAAGACGCAGGAGACGCAATACTCAAGCCGACATGAAGAGGAACAATCTGAGCTGGAGCCAATGGAGGTCAGCCCTCGCGAGGAAGAGCAGTCGCCACGCCGGACTCTGTTGCAGGTCCGAAAGGTGCGCAGCGAGATGAAGTACGAAGAGCAAAACGTTAAAAATGTCAACAAGAAACACGAGTCGAAGTCGGATCACGAATTCGCCAACGAGAGCCATGTAAGTGATTTCTTGGACAGTCACAACTATTTCCCAACTATATTGAACCATTTCTTTGCCCCAGTTCAAACTCAACGCGAAGTTGCAATTTGAGCAAGACATTGGGGACGGGGTCCTTGTATACGCGAATCAGCAGGGGCGAGATCGTTACGTAGGAGTGGGAAACGGCACCGATACAAGCAACTACGACAGCGAGGTGAGGGCGAAGCGCGATGACGAGGAAAGATGCCGCTACGAGAACAAACAGTTTGGAGACGGCGCCGGCATCTTGAACCCGAATTTTAGCCAGATCTTGGCCAATTATCGCGATGTCGATGGATATGTGCCTCAACACATATCCCAAAGAGAGCGCAAGCCTGAGGCCAGTCAAGAACCCAGCAAAGAAACGCTTCCTGACTCTGGCTTCAATCTTTCTGATGCACATAATCATATGAATGAACTACGCGAGCAAGTGGAAACGTACATGGGGCTCCTTGGTGCAAGATCCTCAAATACGATGGCCGATGGCTCGGGTTTGGGCACCGGATTGCAGCCACAAGTACCGAATCCCGATATGTTTGTCCAGATGTCCATTTCCCCCGACATGCCGGTCTTCAGGCGTCGCCGCCAGTCTGAAACAGTCATGGATAAGGATGCCAAGTTGTCGCCGCGTACTGCCTACTTGTTGTTGAAGAAAAAGAATCGGGAGGCAACCTTTTAATGCATCTCTTACAAATCAAAACTATCATTTTTCAGAACACAATCTCTTCCGTGCACCCAACAGAACCCACAAGCCTTAACGCCAACGCCAACGCCTTAAAATTTCCATGAAGGGTAAAATTTCTAGTTTTACAAGCAAAGCAATGAGGAGCCTCCACCCACAGCATTGAGTGCTCTTGCTGTCACCACGAAATAATTTATGCATCAAAGGAAGCAAGTGGAAATAAAACCAAAAGCGCCGCAAGCGCTGCTAAAATTAATAATTACACTTTTCTCCGTTCTAATTAAAGATTTTAAATTTTTTGACAACTACTCGAAATGTTTATTTATTACTGTCAGTTTGATTAATTGTTAAATAGTTATGGAATATGCGTCTGGTTAAGTTTTTGATCAAGTATTTTTTGATTAAGTTTTGGATTAAGTTATAGTTTCCAAATGGTGAATAATATTTCGGCCGGGGTTTTATTTAACCACCGAAACCGTACAGGGTACGTCCCTGGCGCTTCAAGGCGTAGACCACGTCCATAGCGGTCACGGTCTTGCGCTTGGCGTGCTCGGTGTAAGTGACGGCATCACGGATCACGTTTTCCAAGAAGACCTACGAAAATATTGCACGGTTAACTGTAGTTCGCTTTGTAAGTACTCTTAAGTAAATGCACCCACCTTCAAGACACCTCGGGTTTCTTCGTAGATCAAGCCTGAAATACGCTTTACTCCGCCGCGACGGGCCAGACGACGAATGGCTGGCTTGGTGATTCCCTGGATGTTATCACGCAAGACCTTGCGATGGCGTTTGGCACCGCCTTTTCCCAATCCTTTTCCTCCCTTTCCACGACCAGTCATTTTGCTTTTAGGTTTTTACGATTTCACTAGCGAAAGAGAAGAGAAAATAAACGGGATTAGTCGCAGACCGAGACCGACGCCATGTTTGTTGGCCGAAGCAGCTGCTGATGCTTTTTCATGCATATAAAACGCCCTTTTATGTACATCTGCATTTTAGTACATAGTTAACAACAGCTTATTTAGAAACGAACATCATTTTTCTTTATTTCTTTAGTAGTTTTTAATTTTTTTTGCGCATTTAAAAATAAAACGAAAACAAAACATACCTTGTCACAAAGAATATCAATCAGTGTGACTGTTTTTCGATTTTTCGATAATTCATTCTGTCTGTCCCTCTGAAATATACCAAAAAATATACCGTCTCGTTTTCAAAATATGCCGGAATATACCGATGAAAAAATTAAGATTTATTATATGATGACGGTATCTATCGGCACTTGTGTCATCCCTAACGCCGCCCCATTGCGAACGTCTTGTCGTCTTTAATTTTCAATATATTATATAAAAATCCAATAAATGCAAGTATTTCGAATAGGCCAATCATGTATAGAATTGATTCATCAATCGTACAAAATTGAGTGGGCATGGCTAAATGTTCTATTTAGCTGGTAATATTCAACGGAACAAAGAATATGAGGAATATAGTTTCCAATCCTGACGGAGAACGATTAACCTATTACAAGCCAAGGGGGTATTTAAATTTTCCACTGAAAATAATGAAAATTTAATCATTTTAGCGCAGTTCAGCTGAAAAATATCGTGGTTTTAGAGATGGCATGAATCCTCAAGAATAATTTACAATCAGTAATATTTTCCGCCATTTACCTCAAGTAGTTCAACTATTTAAATACAGGGGGCTTTAGTGGGAATCCGATAGAACCGAACATCGACAGGGTTGTATTTTCCAGAAAAAAAAAAACAAAGTGTAAAATTGAAAAAATCGCCCACAGACTCTAAAACTGAGCAAAGTGCATCAAAAGGGTGCATTTCGAAGGTGTTTAACCAAAATGTGATTGTGAGAAGTGGACAACAGAGCCGCATAACGTTAAAAATGTCCATGGAAGTAGCGTGTGGTCAGCGATTTAGCTGCGAACTCAGCAGCATACATACATAGTCTGCATACAGTGGCGTGTGTCCCGAGACCCGAGATTGCATCGAAAGAGGAAGTATAGTGCTCGAGTGCAAGCCAACCAACCAACCAACAAATCGCCAAAACCTTCAACTTAAAAACTGTGCCAAATAAAAAATATTAACATCCTCACCGTAAACCTAACCACAGTGATCACTCGAGCCAGCGCGCATGCTACAGTTACGTATACACTACCGTACCGTGTGTTGTAAACAAGTTCGAGGGCGATAACGCTTAACAATGTCCAAATACGAATTGGTGCTTTATCTAACGGCGCAGCTTTTACTGGGTATGTATTTTGTTCTACTACACTTGCATCTTGCATATTATGTACGTATGTGTGTGTGTGTGTATACTTGGCGCCTTAATTGCGAGTGCCGTAGTCAATATTATTTGCATTTTCTCGTATATTTCCCTTGCACCGCCTCTGCTTTGTAGTTGTAGTTCTCCCTGTGTTACACACACAAAGTACATATTTGGGGCTGCTGGTTACTATTCGCTCGTGGTTCCATAATCCTTTAGAAAAACACTACTTTGATATCACAGTGCATACCCTGGACATGAAGGTAGATTAGTATTGTGTTAACCAATGCAAATTCCAAGTTAAGGAGCAGTTAAAATGAATAAAGTTGACTGGTATATTTCCGTTGTAACTTAATTGAATTTATAATCTGTACTACTCTTTGTGTGCGGTATAGAAATCCAATGTTTCTCATATTACAGAGTATCAATCGACAGAATCCGTCAACTGCTCAGCTCACTGTGGCCATGTGTGTGTGTGTGTGTGAGAGAGAGAATTTCTTTGAATGGATTGCGTTGCATTTGAAACTTGTTGTGTGGGGGCTCGGGAGCGGGGGCTGAACTCTCTCTCCCATTGCGCTCTCCCTGTTGCTGCTGTTTCCTTTTTCCCCACAAGCGCCACTTTAAACCCATCCCTTTCTGTGTGCATAATGTGCCTGCTTATGTATCTACTTTACTATAAAGCATGCATACTTACACACACACACACACAGAAACGCATGGGGATACATACATATGTGCATGGGAGCAGGCAGCGATCCGATTACCCCAAAGGACAGTGGGGCATAGACTGGTTTTGGCCGGTGCGAATTTATACTACGAACGATTCAATTTGTAATATTTGTGATTGAGAGTTCGATTTTCCCATATAAATTTATAACCTCAAATATATGGCAAATTTGTATAAATTAGAGAGTGTGGTCCCACTGTGCACGCGTATATCCGTGCGGATACAGCTTGTGGCACGGTAGCTGCATTGGGGTTATGCCCACTCAAAGGCTCTGGGCTGTTGGTGTGTGGCCAGTGGAGCTAATTTCGTACCAAAATGGGGTTGCTCTCAATGGGGTCGTCGGTCCACGGTCCACGGTGTGCGAATGTGATATGTGTACAAAGGATAGGAGGGCGCCTACAAAGAGCTCTGGGGATGGGGATGGGGCTGGGGCTGGAGGTCCACTGTACAGCTAAACATTATTTATCCGCCTTTCAAGTTATTTTAGCCGATAATTCCATTAACTTTGATCTTTGCTTTCATTCTGCTCCCCCCAACAGCCTGCTGCTGTATGCCCCATGGCATCCATGGATCCATTCTGCCCGAGGGACACCACAACATCAACTGCGAGCACTACGACGAGAAGATGTGCAACAAGGAGCAGGATTGCACCGTCCGGATCGAGCGGTGTCAGGTGGAGACGGACAAGTTCCCCAGCTGCTATGTGCTGTGGTCCGCCAACGAGGAAACGGGTGAGCATTAAATGAGGATTGGGTGACAGCATACAGGCATTCTGATTGTGGTTTTTTCTCGCACCGTTCCTGCAGGCGCCAAGAAAATCAAAATGAAGGGCTGCTTCACCGACATGCACGAATGCAATCAGACGGAGTGCGTGACCAGCGCGGAGCCCCGGCAGGGCAACATGCACTTTTGCTGCTGCAAGGGATCGCTTTGCAACTCGGACCAGAAGTGGATACCCACAACGACAGAGGCAACGACGCAAGGTGAGTTTTGGGCCCACACGGTGTTCCTGTTTGGAGTTTTGTCATTGCTCTGTTTACCCCAATTTTTGTACATTTTATTTTCATATTTTCCGCAACTTGTTTTTTACTTGCGAGGGGCGTTTGGCTCCCTTGCCCTAGCCACCCAACCATCTGCCATCCGAGGCAGCAGCGTTTTTCGTGCTAACGAACTCTCGACGCGAAGTGGCGCCGCAGCCCCAGCAACCCCAGGAGCAGCATGTGTTGCAATTTCTGCCCTCCCGTGCACGTTCGTGCGCTCTTTTCATTTTTTTTTTGTATTTTTCATTTCATTTTGGGGTGTTGCTGCCGCTGCTGCAAAGGCGGGCCAGGCCTTTGCCTCGGTTCGAGCGTCTTTTGTGCCCTGCTCTTTGTTGTTTTGTTCTTGGGCTTAGCCCTCTTTTATCTCAAACGAAATGAGGGAAAAAGAGATGCAAAATTGGGGGCGAACTTTCGTTTTTTGGTTCTCGTTTTGCCTTTGAGCAACACCCAACGGGGGCAGGCACATGCACCCTGCCCCAACCAAGGGTGCCACTTGAGATGTTGTTCACCTGTGGCAAGCGCTTAAAGCCCTCTTTAATGTACGTGCCATGCTCGTTCGCCATTGCAGTGCCCAAGGAGAAGACGCAGGACGGAAGCGATTTAATATACATATACGTTGGCACTTCGGTGTTTACCGTCCTCATGGTCATACTGGGCATGGGCCTGCTCCTCTATCGGCGTCGCAAGCAGGCCCACTTCAATGAGATACCCACGGTAAGTTCTCAAACCATCCTGCGCCCACCGTATTGCCTATCAGCTGTAACAAATTCTTTAACAAATTCCATTTTATCCAGCATGAGGCGGAAATCACCAACTCCTCACCGCTGCTCAGCAATCGTCCAATACAGCTGCTAGAGCAGAAGGCGAGCGGTCGATTTGGCGATGTGTGGCAAGGAAAACTGCTTTCCCAGGATGTCGCCGTGAAAATCTTTCGCATGCAGGAGAAAGAGTCGTGGACCACGGAGAACGAAATCTACAAGCTGCCCCGCATGAGTCATCCCAACATTCTGGAGTTCCTGGGCGTGGAGAAGCACATGGACAAGCCGGAGTATTGGCTGATCTCCACCTATCAGCACAACGGATCGCTCTGCGACTACCTTAAGTCGCACACCATTACCTGGCTGGAGTTGGTCCGCATTGCTGAGTCCATGGCTAACGGATTGGCCCATTTACACGAGGAAATTCCAGCCTCGAAGGCCGATGGCCTGAAGCCCTCCATAGCGCATCGAGACTTCAAGTCCAAGAACGTTCTGCTCAAGGGAGATCTGACAGCGTGCATTGCAGACTTTGGCCTGGCCATGATCTTCCAGCCCGGCAAGCCCTGCGGTGACACTCACGGGCAGGTGGGCACGCGCCGTTACATGGCGCCCGAGGTGCTCGAGGGAGCTATAAACTTCAACAGAGACGCCTTTCTGCGCATCGATGTCTATGCTTGTGGCCTGGTCTTGTGGGAGATGGTATCTCGTTGCGACATTGTGGGACCAGTGGGCGAGTTTCAGCTGCCGTTCGAGGCCGAGCTCGGTCAGCGTCCCACCCTGGACGAGGTGCAGGAGAGCGTGGTGATGAAGAAGCTGCGTCCACGTTTGCTCAACTCATGGCGCGCTCATCCGGTGAGTGCTCGAGACTTGGCTTTTGTCCTGGAATATATTCATAATACTCTGTGATCTTTCCCTAGGGTCTGAGTGTGTTCTGCGACACCATGGAGGAGTGCTGGGATCACGATGCTGAGGCCCGTCTCAGCTCGTCATGCGTGATGGAGCGCTTCTCCCAAATTAACAAGTACCCGTCGACACAGCTGCTCATCAAGAATCACGTCAACATCGATGACGCCAAGGAGTCGACGAACTGCTTATAGAAGCGGTACTAAGTCACAGCCCCAAGGGCAGGGCTGTGACTTGCCAACCAATCAATCGAAAGCCTTTTGCTCAGCAGTCGTTAGTTGATAGTTGGATAATTAAGTGCGATCGCTGGCAAATTGGCAGCATGTTTCGTTTATAGATTTATAGTTTTATAACATCGTCATCAGCAGATATCACACTCACTCGCACCCACATACAGCCATGATCTTGCATCCGTTAGAAGTGAGCTAAGACATACGAGTAAACTAAGCTAAACAGAACAAAGCGGAGCGTTAGACGTTAGACGTTGCTACTTGCAGTAATAGATGTGTTAGTAACTCATCCCACATTGACTTCATTGACTGATAACCGTACATATATACTGATACATATACATATATGCATACATACACGTAACGTAGCTTTTGTTTATCATTTAAAAGTAATATTTGTGCGCAACCGCAAACTGTTGAAATTATTGTCACGCCAAGCCTTTTGATTCTTTCATTGGTTCGTCAACGAACGTCTCTTTTATATTGTTAGCTATCCGGTAGGCTAATTGTTATTTTCTACAACTATTACCTTACCTTTTAAGTTTACATTTTAACCTGTAGTCATAGTGTTTTTATTTCCCGCACACTCTCGTTTGACCTTAATGTGCGCGTGTCTTTCGATGTTGTATTTTGAATAAACAAAAAAAACATTTTTTAACTCCCTTACGCTTACCACTTGATTTGATCGACTTATTATTTGATTTGCTTCAGTTTTATAGTTGTTGTATAGTTTGAATCGTAGTGCCAACGACCCTCAGAGCTCACTTATGCATGCAAATGTGTAATTATATATGTAATTGTATTCTAATTCTACTGGACAGTACAAGCATCACCTGAAGTTTTCAAATGAAAGTTTCTTTTTAACGAGAATCTAACATAAGCGCATATACATTATATATTATATATATCTACATCTACACCTATACTATATATATACACACACACACAGTTACACATAAAAGCATAGGCACATGGAAACACACGCAGACTTAGGAGGTTTGTGAATAATATGAATCACACGCTGCATCCATTGTCAGCATTATAATCCATAAACCTATCTAGATCGAACATCGGTAGGGAGGCGAACTTACAACGCAAAACATGTAAAATAAGTAAAAGAAAAAGTCGTCGGGCGATGAGTAAGTATGTTAAATATTATTAAAACGAAAGTAAGTCTTACCATGTTATCATAGGAGGGATGCAGGTGCGACACATGCATCTAGATCTATTAATATTCTGTATATTGTTTGGAAGAGTTGAATGATTTCCTTTGAAATTCTGTTTGCTCAGCGTCAGTTCTTATCAATGGCTAACCGTATGCGCAAGTATCTCTTCTTTCTTCATTCATGTAAGATATCAACTACACACAAAGCAACACACAACAAAACAACACGAAACAAATCGAAACAAAGCTTCATTACCTGATTTTTTTTGAGCAACTTACAACAAAAAAATAGTTTATTATGCAAAAACAGGATTAATCTTAATAATAGAACGAATTTTGTTATGCTGCATTTAGTTTGTATAATTTCCATTGGTGCTGGAAGATCATGTAACATATTAGCCATGATAAGCCATGATAATAAAGGTAATAAGAATCAGTATTCAGTATTCAGAGAGCGAGGAAAACATGAAATATGTTAGTATATTTAATCAAAGTAGTTTGTTACATATCAGAATGCTGCTACATGGGGGGGAAATAAACCAAACGAATACATAGAACAAGCCATTTCCAATCGAGTTGCAGAGACATTTTTATAAAATTATACAAAAGCGAAAACAGAACGCCAATAGAAATTTTTCTATATCTTGTATGCACTTCATAAATCAATAAACAACTGAACAAAAATGAACACGTGTGAGCGGTCAAATAATGAAAATGTTTTTAAAACATCCCATTTTTCGAATATCATCAGCAAAGTTTTATAAAAACCTATTAGTAAAAAAATTATATACGAATGGATTGCAAGTCATGTTAATGAGAAATTTATATGAATAATAAAAAGATCTTTGATAATAATGGATTTCAAATAAAGTTAAAAATAAGCAAATGTTTGATAAAGAAAAAAACCCCGGCCACCTGTGTTTTCCTCCAATAAAAAGGCAAATTTTTCCAGCTTTCGTTCCTTTTTATTTTTTTATTACAAATTTCTTCCAATACGAGTATACATGTACATTGTAGTAAATACAGACTATTTGGGTTATATAATTCAACAATACATTTAGGAAAAATCTAGCCTTGAGCTACACATACCACATATACGGATGAATTACAATTATTGTGTAAGAATTTAAGGGTTTGAGTACGGTTTAATGAGGGGTTAGGGAGTTTTTAGAGTTATATCCCGCATCAACTTATCGAACCGAATCGAATCGAACGAATATAGACTGTGGAGTATATAGACTGGCTTAATTCGCCGAAAATAGAAAATATATGTTCGAGTATGTTTTTTATGTACAATCATCTACGTATTTTTTGACTTTGGACCATTTCAGTTTTAGTTCTACATTCGTTCGTGTTCTGTTCTCTGTTCGCTGTTCTTTCCTCTCTTATCAGACTTATCCTTAGCTTCTAGGCTTGTCCTCCGTCAGAGATCTGCGTCTCTATGTCTGGGGAAAAAAATCGATCTCTATCAAATGCAAATTGTATGTAAAGCATTCCATGTCCTGTGCGTTCTGAATGGGTGTATTACTAAAATATATTATATGTATATATCTGTTCAGTATATCTATTAATTTTGTTTGTTTGTTTGTATGTTTCGCATTCTGTATCTGTGTGTATAGTCACCTATGCCTCTTATGATATCGAGTATATCTTTATTGGGGGCTCTGTAGCTAGTCGAGCTGTAACTAGGTCTAGGGCTAAACATATAAAGTTTATATAATAGTATATATAATATATAGGTATTAATGTATATAAGTACTTTTTGAGTTTGTACGATATGTTTGTCCTAGGGAGAATAGAATCGCGTTTGAAGAGAAAACGTTGCAATTGGAGATACAAGATACAATATACGAGTGTATGCAGTATGTAGGGACGGTTTCTAGGTTCGCAAAGCGGTCGCACTAGTGGAGAGACTAGCGGGGCAAAGGGGTGGAGTATACAAGAATATAGATAGCACTGTGCAACAGAATCAGACCCATCTCCAATCTTTGGTTCCTTTCTAAAACCTGCGAGTGTTGCTCAGTGTAAGTGTAGTATAAACAGATCTATAGATCGGGGTTCCCTCAGTAGGGGTCTTCATTGCCGCCGGAGGAGACACCGCACTTGGAGCGGAGTATGGCCGCCAGTCGCTGCGTCAGTGGTTCTGTGGGTGACTCCGAGTCGCTGCACGAAGCGGAAGGCACCTTGTTTCCTGCAACAAAGAGTAACGGATCGTCAAATCCCGAACTGCGATGCATTTGGGGCCACTCACCATTGCTAACATCCAGATCTGTGGCCGTGGTGTCCTTGAGGCCAAAGCTCAGGCTGATTGGAACAATGTCGTCCTCCTCCTCCAGCAGCAGACTCGAGTAGGAGTGGGTGGTGTTGTCGCTGCGCCCGCCTCCGCCGCTCGACGAGTTGCGCGAGGAGCCCGAGTCATTGTGGCTGTGGGAATGAGAGTGGGAGTGGGAGTGCGGCACGGCCAGGCCATCGACAGCAGCTAGATCCTGCTGCTCATCGATCGGCAGCTCGAAGTCATCGCCACTGCTGCTGCTCTCCTCCTCGCCCTCCACATCGACATTGTCAATTTCATCGTCACCCCAGCCGTTGTCCTCCTCGGAACAGTTGTTGCTACTGTCACTCCCGTCGCCATCGCCATCGCCTTCAGCATCAGATTCATGTAGGTCCAGAGCCAGTTCGGCTGATGAAGATTTATTGTAGTTCTCGTCGCTGTCGCTGGACGCGGCTACTGCGGCACAGGAGAGAGGATTAATTCACTATTCTCGCGGCTGGCTACCAGCTCACTCACCTCCCCGCAGCTTGTCCAGGATGAGGGGATAGAACTCCTTTGCCGTGCTGTTGTTGGGCTCGTATTGGAGGACTAAACAGCAGGAAAATATATACTATAAGTGCACTCCAGAAATACCTTTTCTGTACTCACTCAGTTTGCAATATTTCAATGCCTTTTTGTAGTCCTTGAGCATGACGGCGGACAGGAACTGCAGGAGAAACAACGCACAATATACTTATATATCAAACAATATAGCGAATGCCATCAAATCCCTTTTGAAATTCTCATAACATCTCAATAACAATGGCTGCCTCCTGCTCATACATCCTGGCTGCCCTGTTCCACTGGCCCACATCGGGCGGAGCGGAGGACAAAAAAGTTGACTCTTCTGAAAGTTGAATGCGCTCGGAAGGCAATTTATTAGCAATCAATACGTTGGAATGCAGAGCAAGAGGGTGCAACGCTCGGTCGCGTAATCCTCCAGAAAGGACTTAAAATTAAATCCCCAATCTCTGCTGACAGTGCAGCAATTTGCATTTGCATAAGGTCTGTTGCGTCTTAGTAACCTTGCCAAGGGCCAGAAGTGTGCCCCACTCAGGTAATCAGATAGGGGTAGTCAAGGCTGCAGCGATTAGCACAAAGAGGTGCTACCTACGACTCATCCGCTCTGATGAACGTACATATATTACTTGTAATTAGCGGTACCGGGTTCTTTAAAGGTCACTACCTTTAAAAATATTCTTGATCTCTTTTGGTAACAAAATCTGATGGTTTCTCAGCTACGATTGTTTTCCCCAACGTTGTTGGGTATATACAGATCGATATTCTGTTCTGTATATGCATTACCTCAGCGAGAAACTCAGTGGGGGCGGATATACTCTCGTCAGCATCTGTGTACTCGGACAGGCTCTGGCTGAGGTCCTCGCTGGAAGCGGAAGTTGGCAGAGTGGACGCCGATGCAGCTGCAGCAGCGGCGGCTCCGTTCATTATGTTTATGTTATTTGCTGTGGCCAACGTTGTGGGGCAGCCGCCTGCCACCACTCCACCTCCACCTCCAGCTGCTGCTGCTGCTGCTGCTGCTGTTACTGCTGCTACTGCTGTCGAGTTTGTGGTTGGGGCAACACCTGCTCCCATCAGGGCATTATCGTTGTCCGTGTGGCTGCTGTTGGGCTTGACCGCATAGACGCCATTGCCATTCGACTTGTCCATGTAGAGAAGCTAAACAGGAGGGATTACGAAAGAAATACTAGTCATAGGGTATTACATTAGGTAATGAGAACTACTTACATTTGACATGATCGCTAGGTATTATTTTATTATTTCGAGTATTCTTACTGCTTTATTGAGGCATTCTCAAGTAATGGTCTGAAAAAGGAGTTGAAAAAGAGTGAAATTTAAAGTTTGAATAGATCTTGATTGGCCTTTGATGAGTGCTTGGGACTGCAGCAAATGCTTCGAGTCCCGAGGCACATCCCTAATTGGATTGCCTCACCTTCGACCTTTCCAGGACAGGACAGGACTTTGTTAAATGCTAAAAGTCAAATGCTAATTTCGCTTCTTTCGGATCAGAGCAGACACTCGCTTTCTGGCCCTGGTAATAGGCGAGCTAACCGCTAAGATAATTTTAGCCAGATTGGCGCAAAAAGCGAAATCAAATGACGTGGTCTGGTGGCAGCGCAGCCGAGCCGGATTCCCCCTTGGGGGGCTTCTTTGCTCAACTAGT